AAAGTGGTCGTTTTAAGTTCTGAGAGTTTATTGGCTCGGAATGAAACACTGTTGACTCCAAGCCCTCTGCTGTGGATTTCATGATTGTATGTAGATTCCTTTATAAGAATAATTAGATTATAGACAGAGTATGTACCGGACCGCGGCCCCAACCGAGTCCCCAGGAAAGAAAACATTCATGATAAATATGTTGGATGTCTCATTCCTTTCTTACAACTGGTGTAGTTTGTTCAGAATAAGCCAGCACATGAGTCTCTTCAGTTGGCTTACATACGCTTGATCCGAAAACGCATCGAAAAGAACCTTTGTCAGCCTCAGAACTGATTGGATTACACACAACGTTTTGAGCCGATCCAGCGTCCAATGCTTCTTCCTCTTCAAAAAAAAAACAACGTCAGATGATCAGCTTGATGGGGCGGGATCGATGATACCTGATCAAATGAATGGGAGAAATTGAATGGAATTGATTGTCATCCAGTATGTAGACAGAGATTTCTGGGATGGATGACAATCCCCCATCGGTTCGAGTCAGACCATGCTTGGAAAGAAAGATTCAGCACATACCCGGAGACACTGGTCGGACGACACGAGCATCGCGATTTCAGCGTCCCTAGATACCCACCCACGCACCCACCCACCCACCCATGAAGCTTAACATAATGCACCTTCCATCCACATCCCACTCTGTCGTCTATTAATTATGTAGGCGCGGGGGGAACCAGGGAGAGGGGCAAATTCTACACAAGGACGCACAGCTTTCCTTGGCTTTTCGCCAGTGGAAATAATGTGATGACTATAAACCCGTCTAGAACCGAGACATACTTAAATCAGGCTCCTAATGTGTCCAAGAAAGGTTTGCCCCAGAGGAGTGGAGTATGAAAGAGATGAACTCGGCTGCAATCATTGATCAATTTCCCCCGGCCCATCTTTGCATATGTAACAAGACATAATTAGTGTGAGGATCTGTGCACCCTTTGACGATCTGATCTCTCCGGCCTCTGCGTTTTTCTAAGCATCTACAGCCATCTTTTTCATCCTCATCCTCCCCGTTTTTAAATATCTAAGTATGCACTGAAATGATGGCACTCCTACTAGAGATTCCTGACCAGATTATTATGAGAATGATTTGCGTGGAGAAGACAAACTTCAAAGGCTCCCGAAATCCGAACGTAAACAAGTCATTAGATAGATTGGTTTTCCAACAATTCTGTTTAATCGGCCTTCTGAAGAGTTTCCTGATCAACCCTTCCGATCGCTAATATCACCCCAATTTCACGGAGGAGAGCTGTCACGCTCTCCCCCTCTACAACACGCATCGTGTTCCTGTGACATGCATTGTATTTGGGTACATTTGATGGGCTGATCGCCGAGGCGCGTGTATGCTGTTAGTTGGGCCAATTGCACACATGGCCATGCTCGTTTCAACTGTTTTCTTTTTCTCTTCTCTTGAAAGCCACACCGAACTCCGTATTTCCGCAGCTCGCAAGCTTAATATACGTACTTTTCGTACACACTATCACAACAGTGTCAGAAGTGGGAAGCTGTAATACTTTTGTTTTTAAGGTGAAAGGACGGCGGAAGCCGGAAAAATTGATGATGATGAAGATGGTGGTGGCGGCATTTGCGAGGGATGTGTACAACAAGTTGAGTGTACATTTTTTTTTTTTTTTGATTTCAACCCACACACTGTGCCAGTGTAGAGAATCATCCGAGGACCCCCGACAAATTCGTTAGAGTGGGCGCAGATCAAATGTAAATCGCGTTCATCCAATTCCAGGCCCCTACAGCTTCCAGCGTTTCAACACGTGTGATACTCCATACAACATCCTATAGACGATCTTGATGCTCGGGCGTGGAAAGCCTTCTGGATGGGTTTTTCCAAATTCGAATGATAAAGTCTTAAACGGCGAGTTGGGGCGGAACGGAGAAGCTCGTTGAGTTGATTTCTTTAGAGCCCTGTCTCTTCCATCATTTCGACCCGGCTCGATGAATCAGATGATGGACTCGGTTCTGGATGATGGATCATTAAAAAGCCTCTGGAATGGAATGAATCTCCCGTATACATAATCGAAATTACATAGACTGGCTCGATTCGGATCTCGATGTGTGTTGGTGGATAATTATCGCTCGAAAGATTATTCTTCAAATGCTTCATCATTCTCTTTGATTTCCAAAGAATGAATGTATGTACATGCATCTTCCCAGTTGATCTCTACCAGCTGGCTGAAATTAGGACAATAATAAAATACATTCATCTCGCAGATGTTATTAGAAACAATTTGCCACCGGTCAACTGTGATATGTACAAACTATTGTCCATCATCTGCCGTCGCAGCCATTACTGGAATGGAATTCATCGTCATCTTCATGCCAGGCATTGATGTATGGATAATGTAGGGTTTATTGCATCGATTTCATGAACCGATTCCAATCTCACTGGTTAGTCCCACTCCAGCGGTCAATGATGATTGCAAACTAAACACATCCGCATCATTAATGGAACCATTCTTGTTTCTCCAGTAAAGGAAAAGCGTGAAATTATCTACAAAGGTAAACACATAAATAGGTATGCGTGTAACATAGATTCATCCGTTGATTTAAGTCGAGTACACATCAACCCACGAGAGATTCACCGGGTTGAAATTCCAAGTGGATTATTACAATTATCTACCAATCAAGCCTTCGATGTGCCAAACTCCAATCAGGCTTGATTCATTATTTTGATTTGGAGTTGTGCTTGAAGCAGTTCTTCATGGTTCAATGGCGAGTCCAATTACTGGATGCTTGAATCTCTAAAAGATGTCAGCGAGAGCGTTTGAATATGTTTGCAGAGCTCAGCCCCAACGTTGAAGTTTGAACGTCGGGAGTTTTCTCCCGAAGGCGTCTCTTATCTGTTATGGGATTAACTGTTCTTGGGGGGGAATCTTGGCAGGACAACGTTCAAAAAACCGTCAATGGATGTGAATTCATTGCGAGAATATGAAAACGGAACGAACATGAATTCAGACACGAATTTGGAAGCGACAGGGGCTTGACAAGTGCTTTATTAATGGGGGCCCTTTAACATATGTAAGCCTGTGAACTGTCGTCGTCGCTGATCGAATGATGAATTCCATTTCAATCGTTTCCGCTCACGCCAACCCACGTTTGACTTCATCCCGAGACGGAAGCCTTCGATCCTGGCCAGCGAGCTCAGCAGAGTTCAGCATATTGTAGGAAAACGCGACAATTGAAGGCATTGTGAAAACCTTAACAGCAACGTGGACGATACAATAGCTTTACCGCATACATAATTCATCCGTCATTACATACATACTATTTGTACATCCTCATTCCGCTTCCAATTTGACCTTTAGGCCTGACAGGCTTTTTTATGTATACACATGTGTCGACTGGGCTTCTCACCCGTGGCCGGTGGATGTTGTTTAGGTTGCTAAAGTTGAAGCCAAGTTATCCGTAGAAGCTGGTCGGAATCGAAGAACTCGAGCGCAAGAAGTGGTGGCGCGGAGAGCTGTGGCCAGTACACTGAAATCCTCGCAGTTCTCCCCTTTCCATCTTGTACAGGATCCAGTTCTCTCTCTCTCTGCCTCCTTTCTAAACATTCTACGAAGGCCATCGACATGGGATGTATACATACACACGCCCAGTGATGGGCCTAGATCATCGGTCTCTTCAATCTCATCATATTAATACACACACCTGTAAAATCCAGCTTCGAATCGTTTTACCCGGCTTGGAATGGCCCAGCGCCTAGCTTGCGCTGAATTCGTACATAATTATTGTTCAATCATACATTTGCATGCCTCCTTCGACAAAGCTTGACTTAAGTATTTATGTACCCAACACCCACACGCACGCCTACACCTGTTCAGTGGTTGATAGAAAGAAAAAAAAGAAAAAAAAATAATATTATAGGAAAAAGAAGAAGGCTATACTACCATGTGATTACATAAGCCGACTTTGCCCAAGTTGACAGCACTGGGGAAATTCGAGTCTTCGGTTCATGGCTCTTTTTTATTAGGCTCGTGTAGTTCCCCCTACTAGCTCAACGAATCCAATCCCTTCCCTCCGGCTGTTGGCCAAGGAACTCGCATGTTTCCCTCTCCACGTTTGAAATCATCCTGAATATCTTGGCTGTCTCTTCTTCTTCTTCATTTCTCTTTCTTTGTTTTTTTTTCGCGATATAAATAGCTTTTATTAGTTCATAACTGTTTTCCCCTCGCCTCTCTCCCTCTTTTCCTTTTTCGCCTTGGGCTTCAACTAGAAGGCATGTCGGCTCTATAGAATACAAAAATAGAACCCTTGACCACCACCACCACTCATAAACAAATCACCTGAATTGTTAATTTGTAATAGGCATTACATACTTAACACCATTCAAACCATCCCACTTTAAAGATTATAGCCCGCTTTCTCTGTGTCTCTTTTTTTTCCTCATTCTTTTCCCTAGTTTTTCCCTGCGCTGTACATATCCTCCTGTTCTTGTCTGCATCTATTTACCTTAAGCATTTCATTTTCAACCTAAATAAACTTGGGACGTATTATCTTCCAGTTTCTCTGATCGTTCATTCTACACCAGGTAAAAGACTGAACACTTCTTGTACATACATATATACATGATCTCGTCGACTGCTTCCACATCACTATCAGGTTGCTTGATCTAATCATCCTTGGCTTGACTTGCGTTTCTTCATTTTTCTTTCCTTTTTTTTTTCTTTTGGCTTCTAGATCACCAACCAACAAACTAACCGACTTTCATTCTCCCCAAGCTTCTCATGCTGATTCTCCCATCAATAAATAATATATATATATAATTCATAAATAGCAGTTGTCTTGAATTCCTCCCTCCACCCCCATCCCTCTCTCCTCTTCTGCCCTCCCCTGCAAATAGAACATTCATTATTTCTTAACGCTCCTCAAAGAATCTTTCTTGCTCTCTCCCCACACCTCACCAACTTGGCTTGTCGGTCACTCTGTACCTTTAAATTTATTATATAAATATTTATAAATATATATATTGATAGATAGATAGATACATATTTCTGTTCTTTTGTAAATCATGTCATCCTTTGGGCCATCCGTGGTTTCGCCTACTCAAGCAATCTCTCAACAGGCCTCTTCATCACCGACCTCTCAAGCCAATCCCAATGCCGAGATGTCAATCTATGCGCATCAGAAGTGGAACTCATCGGCTCAGCAACCTCAGCTCTATCTTGCAAGGCTACCAACGGTCACCCCAGCCAGCGACGTCAACGCGGCCAGGTCCCTCCAACTAGGCGTCCCTCGACCAAAGCGAAAAAGAATCACCCCAGAGCAATTGGAAGTCTTGTCGAATCTGTTTGAGTATGTGAGTCTGACGCGCCGACTTTCGAGACATCCAGTCATCCTTCTCTTTCTTCTGGCCTTGCGCATTTTTGCCATGCCATCCCATCGCTCGTCGATCGTCAATACCCAAGCCAGTTCTGTCAGGATTTCCACCCGCTGATATTAAGCAAGATCCTAAAATGACTGACATCTCCTATGAATCTTGCTCCCCCTGGTCGCGAAGACTGACACACCAACGTTTGATCTGCGAGAAGCAATTGGTGCAAAATTGGGAATGTCCAATCGGGAAGTCCAGGTAAGTTGCCCAGTCAGACCGGCACGGTGCATTTTATTTTTTGGCGTGTTGTCCATCTCAAGTAATCCCAGTGCACTCATCGCTGGGTTGGTCCTTATTCAGGTGTGGTTCCAGAACAGACGTGCAAAAGTTAACCGCCAGAGAGCTCCATCTAACACTCAAGCGACCCTTCAAGACCGACCGCTGCCATCTACTTCCCAGCAAGATCCAAGTCGAGCTTCTTATGGCAGGCAGAAGAGCTCTTCGTCTGAGCTGTTACTTCCTAGCGTGTCAACCATGCTCAAAAGGTAATTGCTTGTGTTTTCTTTTTTTCGAACAAACCCGTCTTTTCCTCAGATCCCAAGTTGCCCCAGGTATCAGAGCCTAGGATGGGTGTTGAGCATCTTCAACAACCGGCTAGCTGTGCATCAAATCCTCCACTATCCCCCCCCCAAAAAAAACACAGGCGAATTAATAGCAAGCCGGCCCCAAACAGTCTCCAATTGAGTGGATTCTGGTGATTTCGGTCTAAAAATGCCGACATGCGCAACTAGGCTGAAAGGCAGAGACTGAGGAAAATATGCACGCCCTGTTGCTTCTCAGAATGGGAAATGTCCCAAATTCACTAGGCGGCGATGCCAAGCATTCCAGGCAGCCAGCTATCTATCGGCAGGCATGGGGATCATCTTGATTAGAGATGGCAGGGGGGGAGGGGGATTTGCGATTGTGGTTGTACACTGGTTTACTGACGAATTGATTCTTGTTGCTTCTTCGGGGAATTGGCTAATGCCATGTACCATTATCATACCCAATTATCTCCCATCCCCATCCGCTCAGCTCAACCGATGGATCTAGCTCAAGCTTTCCCTCGGCACCCTTACTGCCGCCTTTCCAGCCAACCGTTCCAGGGGGCAACAACATCCCAGATCCACTGGTCCGTCGATCTGTTCACGATCGCTGTCAGCTAGCTACTAGACCCTCCTCGCCACTGGACGTGTCTGGCTCTGATCGACTGCCTAGGTCGGAATTGCAACTCCGAAGTCCGTCCGGCTCACATCGACGGAACAACCCTAGCACCCCTGGCTCTCCCTATTCCCGTAAATGGCTGCCCCGGCGCGCTCCAGATGCCTCCTACCATGACCATCCCGCCGATCCTCTATCGCCGCGCCGTTCAAGCACCGATCCTCAGCCGAAATCATCAATCATCCCCGATCACTTGACAGTCCATCATCCTGCGCGTCCTCGGTGGAGCTCACATGCGACTCGATCCCGTCTGAACTCGCAGCTTACCTCCCAGCGTCCACAATCCCACTACCTGAATATCGCTTCGATGAGACTAGATCAACAACCCCATGCAGATGCAGCCGTCAATCTGAACAGCTATTCCTTGACTCGAACTTCGCTGCCGACCGATGAAAATCCCACACCACAGCTCATTGAACCCCCGGCTCCCAGTTCCCTTCACGATGTTTCACCCAATCAGGAGTCTCCTAACGAATCTAACTCATCTTCACGCTCAAGCTCTCCGCCAAGCCATCATCAATCTGCCCAGAACCGAGCCCCATGGCAGTCACGTGGAGAGAGTATGCCTTTGAATGCACCCCGCCCAGTTTTTCACAACAAAGCCAGAGAAGATGGACAAGAGCACAACAGATCAAACAACCACTTGGGATGTCCTTCGCAACAGTCGTCAAGCTCTTCATCCACTCAAGCCAGACGGTCCTGCTCGGCAGAGGAACCAACTTTAGCCACCTCCAGATCGCTTTTTTCGAGCCGCTGTCTGCCGCCCTTGCCGAATCCTGTCCGGCCCGGCCCGGGTTCGTTCCCGCCACCGGTAGCTCTCCGAGTCGTGGCCATCAAGCGGGACAACTCGCCCATCAACTCGGCATTCTCAGCCTCACCTTCAAGCTCCGAATTCAGGTTGCCTCCGCTCCTCAATGAACGACACACCGATCACCTTCACATCCCTCCTCACAATCTGTCCCGTACCAAATAAACCTTAATTCATCCCCCTTCCTCTCTCTATGTCCGTTGATGACTGTCTGTGAGCGGTGGTTCTTAAAAGCCTCCCATGAACATCACAATCTTCGGCTTCTACATCTGGCTTTCCTACTGTGTACATACTTCGAATCGTTTGGTTGCATCGAGCTACTGCCCTGTGTTTGAGTCATCTTGTCTGTCCATTCTGTAAATATCAAGCTACTTGCTTGAAAGACACTATATAATGTGTGTATATATGAATTCATCCACTTCTATACCGCTTCCTCATCAATCTTTTTTTTCTTGTCTTTTCTGTTGACCTCTCCTCTTCTTCAACTTCTAATCTTCTCTAAATAACAAACACACAAAAAAAAATCAGCTTCATTATTTTATCATTTTTATTCACTCATCTTTAATTCTGGCCCTTCACAATTTGATGATTTCTCTTTTCATTTCTTTTCTTTTAATTGCTGATTACATGTAAATATTGTTGTTTTTTTTTCTTGATGATTTATGCATATGAACTTATATATAATGCATCGGTTTCTCCATGCAACACTTACACTCATCTGCCCATCTATCATCATTCACATCTGTGTACTTTTCTTCTGTTGCAGCCCCAGAAATACCAAGACATTCCATGTCTCTATACCTGCTGGGAGGCACCAAGTTACATCTCTACTTCTGCTGCTGCTCAAGTGTGTGAGTCAAGCTTGGTTATCTGTTGAGCATAGCTGAACAAGATTGCCAGCAGAGTATCCTCAAGTCTGATCCAAGGGAGAGCCAATCGCATGAGCCACATAACAAGGATTTGATTTAAAGTCCGGTTATCAAAGGTGCTGTTGACAAGCTTTGTCAAGACACTAGTGTTCTTCTTTTGTTTGGCTTTCTCTTTGATTGTCACGGGTAATTTTGCTCCATTCTGGATTGCTTCCTTTTGTGATCCACAAGGTTTTCTGGCAGATTTGCCATCACAATGCTTGTACAGATTAGAGCAAGTGTGTTCTGATATCTTTTATGGACAAGCACACAATTTGCACTTGTAGTCTAACTTCTTGCCGGTGTGGTAAATAATACTGTGTTTCTACGCAGAAAAATATAAAAATTTATTGTTATCTCTTTATATATTATATATATGGTAAAAATAACATCAGAAATGGATTTCTCAAGTAAAATTACCCCTATTCACCCACTACAACTGACCCCATATCTCTCATGGTTTAGAAGTTACACAGATTTCAACCTGTCATGGGATGTCTTTTGGATCCTTTACTCTCAGTGTGGCTTGTTTTGCATACTGGATGCATATTGAATATTGAATTCATTTTGTGTTGTATTGAATTCCTTTATTGGCACATAGTGCATATTGAATTCCTTTGTAGGTGCACATGCATTCCTTTGTAGTAGGACCTTGTAGGCTAGCCAAATTCCCTCAAGGCAGTGCTCTCACTAGCCAAATTCCCTCACCTGCATGTATTAGACTAGCTAAAATCCCTCATTGGATCTTCAGGCCAGCTAAAATGCCTCAAAAACCTGTACCCTGGGGCTAAAATCCCTCACATTTGTCTATATAAGGAGGCCTCTGCCTGCCAGTTGTTCCCTCCATCATCCCACCAGTGGACCAGATCATCTCAACCACCCTTACAGATTATATACAAGTGACAGCCATAACAATACATTATATTGAAATACAATCATAACACTTTCATCATCATAACAAGTGCCAAGTGCCCATAACCTGCCTCACATACCATTACTGGTTGAAGCATAGTGCTCCCAGAGCTCCAAGCCTTGGTTTTAAAGCTTTGAACAACAGCTTCATTAATATAATCATCACTCATTTATAGCTTCAGACCTTATACACATCACTTGGAAGCTTCATCTTGAACTATCCTCTATCACGATAAATATAACTGCCAAGCTAAGCTTGGTGGTCTTGTTGTTCTGATAGCATAGAAGGGCAGAGCTTGCAACTCCACCATCCCCTTCTCCATTCAGCAAAAGGGTTTCACAACCACTTTTGAGTCTTACACCGGTGGTCTCCAGAGGTGATTCTTGGGGAATCAGTCAGTTTATTGACATGGAACAATGAACAATGAGATAATAAAATACTTACATTGTCCTCCCTGTATTCTGCAGCCTCAAAATAAAGACCAACATTGTCAAGATCATTCACATCAGGAGGGGGGGGTATCAAATATAGCAAATCCACAATCAGAAACCAGTCACTTTTCCCAAAAATATTTTTTGCATCAATGGGCCCCAAAAGAGGTTCAATGAAGAATCAACATGTTGAAAAAAGGGTGGATTTTTTTTCAAACCAGTCAATTCAATCATGGTGGATTTGGTTATATTTGATATCCCCCATATTAGCTGGGCAGGTGTTTTTTGGTCTGTTTGGTAAATTTTGCGTTATCATTGTCTGAGTCTTGAGGAAGGTTGAGTCATTGAAAATCCTCATCCGATTCAGAGGTAGTTTCCCTGTTTTTTGTTGATTTTTTAGACTTCCTCTGAGATTTCTTAGGAGCTGGGGACTTGGTGGATGCAGTCAAGACCCTCTTGTGGGATTTCGTAATGGGAGTCAGCTGGTCTCTCTGGTTGCTGGCTGGTGTGGAAAGAAGAGCAAGTCCCTTGAGAAGTATTGCACTTCTCCGCTCTGCAACATTGCTTTACTCTGGTTTAGGGTTCCAATATGGTGCCTTGGAGCCGGATTCTGTGCATCCCGCACCCCAACCCCGACCCTGCAGATATCTGGCACCTAGCCACGTTTCTCTGTATGTCTGGCATATTTTTTTTATGCTTTTTTGGCTATACTGCCGTGAAAAGATGGGGTTCAGGGGGGAAAGTTGGAGCTGAGGTGCAGCAGCTGGTTTGATGCGGGTTAGAGATGGTCGCAGATAATCCGTCGCGGATATCCGCTATCTGCTGGCGGATACCCGCCAGCAGGTGCGGATGTCCTTTTCCGCCCAAAATCCTGTCGGATATCCGGGTATCCCTTGGGATACCCGGTCATATATAGGCGCCTGTGGCCGCGGCTGTGTGCTGCGTAGCGCAGCCCACAGCTGCGGCCCCACTCGGCTGCTGGACCCTGGGATATACCCATGTCCTTCTCGGCGGCCGATACACAGCCCAGCTGTTCCTCAACCTCGTCGGCGGCTGATACACCGCCCTTCATCCCTCGCTTTCCAAACCAACAACACCCACCGCGGCCCGGAAGAAACCGTAACCGCGGACAGGTTGTCTAGTCTTGGGAGGTAAGTCCTCCCCCCCTTTTCACCCCTTTTTTTCCTCTCCGACTCGCGCGCTGACCAACCCCCACCTGTCCTTTGGCCGGCCAACAGACACCGAGCGCTTGTCATGCCCGATTGTCGTTGCTCGTGGTGTTCTGTCGTCGCTCGTGGTCTTGGAGGGTTTTTTAGGCTCAGGGCCTCGTCGTCTCGGTCCGATTGCGAGTCTCCCTCCGGTTCCCTTGTCATTTTTTTTAACCCTTCCTCCTTGCCAACTCCAACACCCCCTGGGCCTAATCTTTTGGACTCCAACCTGCCTTCCAGGCTTTTTGACCAGGGTGAGTCCACATCTTTTCCCCTCTTTGTTAGTAATGATAACTGAGCTGTTCCTATGTCATTTTTTTAACCCTTCCTCCTGGGCCTTATTTTTGGGTCTCCAGCCTGCCTTCCAGGCTTTTTGACCAGGGTTTCTGACAGGTGCCTTCTAGGCCTTTTGACAGGGAAGTAAGTAGGGAGAACCCAAGTGAGTCCACATCCCTATGACTTTTCCCCTCATGGTTACTAATGAAATCTGATTCCCTTGTTAATTGTTTTTATTTAACCCTCCCTCTTGATCATATTCTATGTCTGTCAGGCTCCTTCTTTCTTTTGTCATTTTTTGTTGTTGGTTTTGTTTTTTTGATTAATGAAATTGTTTATGTAGAACATGCAATGAAGCTGGCTCATAATCAAGTTAGCTCTGCCTATGCATCCTATGAGGCACCAACAATGTCTGATCAGAAGGACAAGTTTGATTGGTACATGATAGCTTGGAAATGTAAAACGTGAGAAAACCATCTCCATCAACATCTTTCATTGATCATTATTATCTAAATGAATTTACGCTGTAACTAGCTGTTCAAAAAAAATTAATCGACCTGCGCACAAGTCTTCATGTGGGAATCTTCTCACACACGTTGCTTGATGCTCAAAGAAGGCAAACAATCCCTCGGATCATAAGACACTTGCATCGCTTGGCATATCGGGGACAGGTGATATTGATCCACGGGAGGTTAGTGCTTTTCCATTTTGGATATATATTAATTGTTACCTGAAATGTTTCCTCAGGTTTTGCAATGATGTGTCATCTGGTGTGCTGAGGCCGCAAAGCCATTCTCAGCCTTCAAAGAACCCAGCCTGAAGAGAATCCTTCATCCGACAATCTTGAAGCACCTTCCAAGTCGAAAGATGATTTCCAAAGGTGTTCTTACCCTCTACTTATGTGTTCAGGAGAAGCTATGTGAGGAGTCAAAGGTGAGTAATTGACATTTGGTTGGCTAATATTTTCTTTCCATCCAACATCACTGATTACTGACCGCAGTTCATACTTATTTTTTGTGCTATTCAGATGCATGAGGGGGCGCTTTACTTGGGTGTTGATGCGTGGCAATCTCCAAATGGATATGATATTATGGGCACGGTGGTCTATTGACTTCTGGATGATGGCGCCGGAAATACGAAATTCAATGCAATTCCCCTGGACTTTGTGCAGCTCAAGGAAAGGCACACAGGCGAATACCTGGCTGAAATTGTAAGAGGTGTTGTTGAGAAATTTGGATTAAAAAATAGGGTACGTAAGATTTTCTTGGTCTACACCCCCCTTGTGTACCAATTTTGTTCACTCTTGATTGTCTGTGATCTGACCCTGTTTCAACTCTGAATAGATCTGTGGTATTGTTTCCGACAATGCAAGCAACAATGAGACTATGATTTCGGAGTTGGAACGACTAGATTGGAAACGATTCAAGGGTGAGGCGCAGTGGATCCGATGCTTTGCGCATATTTTCAATCTGATTGTCAAGGCTATACTTCAACCGTTCACTTGTAAGAAATCCCAAGCTGGCACGCCTGAGTTTGATGACTCAGATGAAGAAGAGGAAAAGCATGAGCACATTGTGAGGTAAGCTGTTTCAATCAAGCATTTAATTTTGACACTAGAAGCTAAATAACACTTGGAAATTTTTAGATTCAATCAAGAGGAACAGAACTGTGACTTGGACGATGATGAAGATAACCACAAAGAACCTGACGGCAAAGAGGATCCAGAACTAGCATTCGACGATGATCTCACTCTAGACAATCTTGAGGATCTTGAACAAGAAGACTCGAAAGATAATTATACCTCTGACTCGTGTCGCCAAACCCTCACAAAGGTTAGTCTGTTCATCTTTTATCAAATTCTCTAATCACCTCTCACTGGAATGATTCTATCCACTGTTGGCAGTTCCGTCGAATT